TACTTTCTGTATACATGGATATTTCACGAGACTAATTCATCTAAAATATGAAGGTAAACTGTGGTACTTTGTTGCGGTTACACCTCGTTTACGCACCGCGCTTTTAATTATCTATCGATCTCGTGTAATCTGTTCCATTTTCGGAAAAAGAGAAATTTGTACGACTCCGGTATTCGCGCTGTAACTCGCTCTGTCGTTCTTCGCGACTCGGACGGGCAGGAAGTAGAAAAAGTCGCTTACTGCTCGTCATTACGTGTAAATGTAATCGAAAATTATCTCGATTAACTGTTGCAATTAATATCAACTATTTGTCGCTGGAGGTTTCGCTCATATAATTCATTTAGAGGATTAGATTGAATGATAATAAAGATTGTAAAATAGTGTTTCGTTGCGGACTACAACTACTTCTTTATCGCAGATTATGCTTTGATTCCGATGCTCGCGTTGTGTTTTATACACTGAAATATATATTAACTGGAACACGCGCTGGGCGGCAGAACAAGCGATTCGTGCGGGCAGAGAGAGAGCATCGTCGAGTGGCGTCTGTCATTGTCTGGTTATAGGGTGGTCGAGAGTGGGGACGGAAAGGTACAGTCCGATCGAGAAATTGGCCGATGGCAGAAAACGATCCGTAAACGCTTAAGACTGTCTTAGATCGTAGACGTAAGGCAAGGCAGAGAGAAACGTAAGTCGTGAAAGGCTATTGTATACCACTTACGTTTCTCTCTGCCTTGCCTTACGTCTACGATCTAAGACAGTCTTAAGCGTTTACGGATCGTTCTCTGCTATCGGCCATTAGCTCGTTGTCAGAGGTTACACGATCTCGCGCAGTCGTGCTGCGCTTCGATTTTACTTTTGGATTCGAACTGTACTAGACAAGACAAACGCCACTCGACGATGTTCTCTCTCTGCCCGCACGACTCGGCTCTAGGCGCGCGTTCCAGTTAGTATATATTTCAGTGGTTTTATATCGCTAATTCAAAAGTGTTTTATCCATTCTTCTGAATCAAAAATGCAAGTTGTTACTTTGAGTAATTTGTACGAAAAAAAGTCACGCGATATTTGTTAATAAAGTTTCGTGCGTTTAGGTTAGGTTAGGTATTTCACATCGCGTACGGGAGTGCGCCGAAAGTTTCGCGCGATCGATGATTTTCGCAGAGTGAGTGTTGTGTGAGTGCCACAAGGAAATCTGAGAGGAGGAGGAGGAGGCTCAGGAGGCATCGGGCAACGGCGGAAAATTGGTGAGGTAAGTGTCTTACATTTTGATGTTATTTGCTACTTATGCAAAATAAGGCGTCTGTTCTGTGATTTTATTTTATTTATTCAAATGATTCGAACGAGGATTCGAATAAGTGTTAGAGACAGTACCATACGTATAAAATTTTGTGAGTTTATATTTAAAAGAAAGACTTTTCAGTATTCCATATAATTATTTTAATAATTGCCTTTTAAAAAATATAAAATATAAAGTATATTTAATACAATCATTTCGATTTTACATAATTAATCTATAATAATCATATACGTATTTCTTTTTTTACAGTTTAACATACATAGTTAACGATGTACAACTCTGCTGTCGCGAATCAGTGAGTGATAAATTACTTTTTATTTTTTAAATTGACGTTGCGCATACAATTACTTCTTTGCATGTATATAAATTCTTAAAAATATACAATGCACAACTACAAACTGCGCGCGCGAAGCGCAACAAAATTACGAACGATTCTAGGTGACGGTTTCGTACTTGTATAAGACAAAAAAATTTTTGAACAGTTCCGGCAGTTCTGTCGAGAGTTTGTCGTACTTACCAGAGTATGTCGTACTTACCTCCAATTACATATGACGTTACTTTTACGCCAAAGCTTGTGCACTATCTAC